AGTTTTAACTTTGCGCATGTCTCATTAACATATGGGAGTCAAATGCTCTTCAAATATGCTCAGCTTTTGTTTTGTTTGTTTTTTGTAGCATTTTGACTACAACTGGTTAAAAAGAAAATAAAATCTCTGAAACTCTTTTTTTTGTTTGTCTGACGTCAAAAGAGGGATCCGAATTTCCAAATCCTCATTTTTCTCTTACGGAAAGGAAAAAATGTACGTAACTGTAGGCTCTCCTTCTTTCCAGATATTCCTAACCCTGAACTTTCTAACATCCTTCACCCTCTAGAAAAATACGTTTACTCTTCTGTTTTTAAGACAGAGGCTTCGAGGCTTTCCTCCTCGTGGTGCCCGCTGTCTGGATCTAGTGCATTTAAATGAGGATTGGTATTGCACGCTTTAGAGTCACTGCTTAAGGCACTTTCGGAGTGATTGGGAGGCTGGATGTCTGCAGAGCCCCCGTTGATCTGGGAAGCTTGGGTTTCCTCGTTCCCCACTCCGTTCTCGGTCAGAGAACCATCTGAAGACACGGCGGATGATTTGGAGTCTTCGGATTGTGTCTTAAGCTCTTTGGCCACTTCTGCCGCAGAAGTGGCGTATGGCGGCTTGGTCTGTGGATGAACATGGGGAAAAAACGAAACAAACAAAAACAAATTATTCTTCAGAAATGGTTCAGTCTCAGCTTTGTGCTGCTACTGTCTGTGCACTTCATTGAGGAGCAAAATTAAATAGAGCAACTGCCGACAGCAACAAGGTTGCTTTTTTAGAATAAAATGCCAGGAGAACTGGACTCGCAAGCTCCTTCCTGGCTCTGGTTTCGGAGACACTCGAGGAAGCCTTATTTTCCAAAACTAAAGCAAACAGAATCTGAAGCACTAGCTCATAGTAACCAATCCGCTTGTTTTTTCAGTTTGTGCAGTTCAGCTTTGCTCCATTCCATACAAATATATTTTATATATATATCTTGATTTAAACACATCTTATGTAATGTTGATACGAGGGATGAGTTGGGGTCGTAGTGAAGTCTATCATGATCAATACAAGTCATTTGTCTGCTCCAGATTTGATAAATTCCCTTCAGGGTGTTCAGTGATAGAATGTGGAAGAGAGCCGTGATGGGGAATACTCACTACTTACTCCTAACACCACATTGCTGTGGAGGCCATTTCAGACTTTTATGGTTAACACTGTACTGGGATGTGTATGTTTTGTGCCCGAGATGTAGTGAATTCATGATACAATGGAAGAAACAAAAACGGAATAATCCCAAACAATCCAGTATAGAAGCTCTTCTAAGCCCTAACTGTCCTCATCTAGTGCAGAAAAAGAAGGTGTAGTAATGTAGAAGTGATGTACTAAAAGTTGTACTTACACAATTGCATTTTGCAAAGGATAATTTGCCTGAAAGGCCACAGTGCGGCATTCACACGGTGCAGTTTTCTTTACACTGCACATTCTGTTATATATTTTATTATATATGTATAGTGTACAGTTCCTGAGCTGCTATTTGGCAAGAAACATATTCGGGCAAAATTGTGCATTTTAGTAAAAAACAGGAATGTATCAGTCTTCAGCCTGAGGGTGTTTATAAATGCCCCCATAATATTCATACATTTAAGTTAAAGTCTTGAAAAGGAGGAAGTATTAGGCTATAAATATTTCTCTTTAAACAGCAGCGCAACGTCTGTCATAACGAGATATTACTCCAAAATACAATGTCCTGAATGCCTGGAAATCTATACACATAAAATGGTCATAGACAACAAATAGTCTACCTGAAATGTCCCTTGGTTTTTGTATGTCCCTCTTCCATAATATCTACCACCTCTTCCAAATGTTCGTATGACAGGGGTTGATATAACTCCTCTGGGGCGTCTGCAGGGAGCAAGAAGAAGAAGAAGAAGAAATGACTTGTTAGAATTCTGCAATATGTATACATATACACGTCTGTCTGTTTTTTTTAAATGGAAAAGTTCTTCCTAAAATCGGGGACACACGTCGGTTATTCCCTTTAGTACCCATAAAAATCTCTTATGTGCACTTCTCTGGTTCTAATTTCACTTCATTACTACGGATTAGGACTGCCCCAGTACCCCTGCCCAAAGATAGTGCCTTTGAGACCAATAAAGGTAATTTTTCAAGGGGTGGGGGATGGGACTGTCAGGCAAGACAAGCCATTAGTAGCAAAGCAAACCAGGATCAAACGGAGCACACAAGGGGGGCTTCACTGGCTAGTAGACAGGTGTTGTGGTACATGGAGACTATATACAGATGTATTGCTTGTATTGAATCCTTGTTTTACAGTAATACAAAACATGCTGTATGAAACTACTAAGAAAGCCCAGCACTAGCTCTACATCTCATTACCTACAGACTGGAGGTGTGCCCCCCCTCCAAAAGAGTCAGCTGTGTGTGCATGTAACCTGTAAGCCTGCTATTCAATTCCTGCCCATCCTCATCATCCCATGTGATTGCAGACAGCCAATTGTGGGATATGGAATGCACAGAGATTCCCGATAACAGCCTTGTTCTCCATCATTGTCTCCGACGTCAGTCTATCTACAATGCACCAAGCAAGGTGTACGCTGGCCTGACATGCAATTATAGTTTTTAGGGGCCAGTTCACATCAATTGCAATACATTCCAGGGCGGTAGCTGCTGGAACGCACAGCAATCGCGCAAACTCCCCCCTTAGTTCTGGGGCCGGAGGGGGTGTGGTGTTGCATTGAAGTCAATGTCACCACAGCAACGCCCCCCGCCCGCAGTGCGATCGGACGCGTGGCAAAAAATTGCATGCGTTTCAGTCCAGTTCAAATGCAAACAATAGAGCATGCTGCATTTTTTGCCATGTGTCTGATCGCACTGCTGGCGGGGGGCGTTGCTGCGGTGCAATTGACTTCAATGCAATTTTGCTCACACAGTTTTGATGTTGTTTTCATGAGTAAAAAAAGTACATGAAAAGAACATGAAAAGCAGAACTGGAGAGGTCAATGGACATCAACCTACAGAGCTCAAGAGTTCAGGATTGATCTCCATTATGTAGAACTATATATTACTGTATCACTTCAATTCCAAAGCTAGTGGGACCTCCATTACACATGACCTGCTGATGTCTTCTTCTCACACATTAAAGGCTGCACGTTCACTGAATGAACCTGGTTCAGTAACATAATATGAACAAGAGCTGCTGGTGTAAAAATGAAAAAGGGAGTGCACAAAGTCACAAGGCAACAGTCAAATAAAGGTGTGGATAGCATATTAGCCTATGGAGTTCCTACTAAAGGCAGGCCAGTAAAAGAAAAGGTCTGGCTGGTTGGTCTCTGCACTTTGTCCATCACCTAAGCACAGTACACAGCACTCTGACAGACTGAATGATATACACTTTTGAACAGGGAGGGTGCAGAGGAAGCTTGCTGAACATACCCTCTATTTGGTCCACCAACAGAAACCACCTGAATTGGAAACTGTCCTCTGCCACGTCCACGTCTAGTCCCAGCCCACTGGCCAACCACAGTCCCAGCTATTTCAAGCTTCCCTCCCTGAGAAGGAATAGGCTGGACACCTTCAATAAATGAAAGACAAAAAAAGAAAGCATCATTTCATAAACAGACTTATACAGGTCTAGTATAAAATACCCAAGTCCCGCTCCTGGTACTCACACTGGAGAACATAACCATAAAGAAAAAAAGTGTTAATAAAAATGCTGACCAGCTAAACCTACCCAAACATATAAAGTACACAGTAACCTGCCGATCACTGATGTAGCCATTGTTGCATGTGACACGGTTTTTTGCATCAGAATTGGTTCCACAGGTACCTGCGCTGATGCAGGACTATACAGAGAGCACATGAATGACCGGCGTTCCTGCCTTCTGTCAGTACTTGCTACAACTTGTATTGTTCATTGCTGCAGATCAGCTTACTGTACTCACAGGAAGTTCAAATTCCAATTATTGTGCTCACAGAACATACTCACAATCTAAAGGTTTAATAAAAAGGCTCCACACCCGTCCCACAATAAGATATGCAGTCGTAGATTTCACAATGGCTTCCAGAGGTGCAAAGGAAGGCACTTGTTTAATGTGATAGTTTTTTTTTTTAATGTATCAGGATCTGTGGATATTATTCGCAGAACACCCCAGGTGAAAGGCGTGGGGCTTTGATTTGCTGCATGACCAATACATGGAGGGGCTTTCTCTACAACAAAAAAATCTACTGTGGGTGTGTGTGTGTGTGTGTATATATATATATATCTGTGTGTGTGTGTGTGTATATATATATATATATATATATACACATATATACATACACACAGACACTTATTTATATTGCACATACCTGCTGCAGCCTTAACAAGCTCCAGACTGTTCTGATAAGCACGGCTCAGGCACTTGCCCTTCCTGTCTCTTACTGGCCCATAGGGGCAGCCCATTATAGTAGTTAGCCTGTAGGAAAGTGGGACGCAGGGCTTAACGGCAAGCTCCAACAGTACTTTAAAGTTTTGGAGCTTTGCTTGTCAGAATGACCTGGAATTTGGATCTTAAATGTTGTCTGTTTTACTGGTCCAACTGGTGACCAATCTGTATGAGCCGCTTTAGAGGCGGACATAAGACCATAGACAAAAGTGGACAAAGCTGCTCACAGGGACATTTCACATCAGCTGAATAATATTACATTTTAACAACGTGACAAAAACAATGACATTAATGGAACTATGTGCCGTCAATATAAACCAAGTTAAAACACTTACCAGGGAAGCCTCTTCCTCTCCCTGGAGGTGGAGGCATTGGTCCAAAGGGTCGCGGGTACATAGCAGCAGGGTAAAAAGGCATGGCGGGTGGAGGGGGGAATGGCAGTGGATGGTTCTGTCTTGCAAAGTGGAGCCCTTCCAGGATACTTTGTCTCATCTTGTCTACTTTAGCAGCTTGTTCTGCCTGCACCCAAATAAACAGAACAATAGATAAGGCAGGACCAATAGGAAGTCTCAGCACTACACAAAGTTTTAAAAAGTGTGCTCATCATGCCTGATGTCAAATAATTCGGGATGTCCCAATTCCGATACTAGTATCAGTGTCGGGGCCTACTGCAGGACATTTTCTTCTTTATTTGACGGCAGGCTCATAAAGAGAGCCTGTCACCTCCAAATTATATCACATAGGGGTTTGTAATCCCCTGTGTGATATCAATAAAGTGAAAAAAAATAAAAAAAAGTGATTTAAAAAAACAAAAAAACTAAATAATAATAAAATAAAAAAGTGCAAAAATGTAAATAAAAAAAGATATAAATACAAAGTTAAATAAAAACCAACCCCGCCCCCCCTAACGTGTGTGTTACCCTAATTCCACTGTGTGCCATATAGTTAGAGAGCGCTGCTGCCCAGCTACAACACACATAATGCACATTGAAAGGGCAAGATCACTTTCCCTCCTTTCCTTCCTCTGCAACGGGTGTAGGATACATACCTCATACTGCCATTCAGTGCAGCCCTGCGCTATGGATTTTGAATTTTACTCAGGTGACAGCGCTGACCAATGAGAAACGCTTCTTAGCACGGTCAAATACCGTTTTGGTTAAAATCATTTTTTGTATCAGGACAAGTATAATCATGGATTGGTAAGTACTCATAAAAATGGTCCCGGGACATCACTACAAATAATCGTAGCCTATTCTGCCAATTACCACCTCTAACATATGGGGGACAGAAAACTCGCACAGCCAATTATCAGATAGAAGTTATGTAAAGCCAACAGTTTGTGTAGAACTTTACAAAACAAAGACAGTACAGTTGCAACACAATGCAACCAGAGGGTTGGGGGGGGGGGAGCTGCTCATGTGAGCTCACAATCTGTTTAATCTCCGCAGTTCCCTTGTAGACGGCACACACCACCCATCCAGCTTCTATTCTCTTGCTTGGGCTCTCTATGCCACTACCTAAGGAGTTGCGAGCAAAGAGGGGATCTCTGTTTTAAACAGAACACAAGCTGTGAAAAGGAACACTACATGACTTACCTCAGGCTCTGGTCACATACCTGACCATCGCAGAGGTCAATTAGTGAGGCCTTTTCCCTAGTAGCTTTAATGTACTTGAACTGAAGTAGTTTTCCATCAAAATACATCCAGGGGCAGCAGTGTTCCCAGGGGATGGGCTGTCCACAGGCATCATTCGCCAGAAGTGCCATGTCCACTCCGCTCATGAACAAGGCAGACAGCTGAATTCCTCTGGGGTCCAAATTATCGATCTAAAAAAAAGGAACGTTATTGGTCAGAATTGTCATTCTAAAAAATCAATGTAAATATAATGAGAACTGTTTTCAAGAACACAATTTCTTTACCCAATCACTAAGCTCTTCTAGAAGCTTGAATTTGTTCCCAGAATTTCAGAAGTCACTTTCAATATTTTTTATTCGGCAGTTTTTGTTAAGATAAAAGCGGATTCTGTCATTAATATTTGTGTTCAGCCATCTCCTGTTGGAGTGACAATGCTCTGCCCCGTCACTCCCCTCATTTCCATTAATAAGGGTTCTGGCTAACAATGGTAAAAATTAGGGATGCACCGATACAGGTATTTCGGTATCAAGTGCGATTTTTCGTTCGGTACTCGCCGATACCGAACACCCCAGTACCGGAAGTCCAATTCAGGAAGCCAGGCGGCGTGTAACGACTCACCACCTCACCTGGCTTCCTGATTAGCAGGGAAGCCGTCCCCATGCTTCTCGTCACTATGTGACGAGAAAGCATGGAGCCGGCTTGCTGGCCAATCAAGAAGCCAGGCGCCATGTAATGGCGCGACGTCCAGCTTCCTGATTGGCCGGGAAGCCGGCTTCATCGTCAAGAGGTGACTAGGAAACATTAAGCAGGCTTCCCGGCCAATCAGGGAGCCGAGCGTCGCATCATTACCCGGCGCCCTGATTGGCCAGCTTCCCGAACCAATCAGGAAGCTGGGCAGCGAGACATTACATGCTGCCCGGCTTCCTGATTGTCCAGGAAGCCGGCTCCATGCTCTCTAGTCGCTAGTGAAGAGGAAGCATGGAGCCGGCTTCCTGGACAATCAGGAAGCCGGGCAGCGTTTAATGTCTCGCTGCCCAGCTTCCTGATTGAATCGGGAAGGTGGCCAATCAGGGCGCCGGGTAATGACGCAACGCTCGGCTTCCTGATACAGGAAGTATTGGGCGAGCCATCGGAGCATTTGGCCGAGTACAAGTACCCAAATACTCGGCATCGATACCGGTGCATTCCTAGTAAAAACACACCTGCTCTTAGGAGGACTTGGGACTTAAGGTCTGGTTCACACCTGAGCAGTTTTGCGCGCGAAAACGCGCAAAACACACATTTCCATTGAAGTCAATGGCAACCGTTTACACCTTAGCGCTGTGTGAAAAGATGCAGGAGCTATTTTGGAGGTGGATCCCACACGGTTTTGGTCCCATAGACTTGTATTGAAATCGCATGCGTGAATATGCATGCGCGTTTATATTAGCGATAACTGTGCGGATTACAGAGAATGGAGAGAGGACCTCCCCTTGTCACACAGCACGCTGGGATCAAGATGGAACCACATATCTACTGAGGACTGGTCCAGGCCCAGGTCTGCCTCTATGATCACAGGCATGCAAAGTACAAGATCAAGGGCAGTGGCCACTGGTGCACAAATATGGAGACTATGGTTGCCACGGCATGCCGAGTATTTCCTACTCAACAATGTAACACCATCAGGTAAGAAACTCTCTCCTCAAAAACAGGAACTTATGTCATGGCTGTTTCTGCTTCTCATTGGACACATGCACATCCCTATGCAGAGAGAAACGTGCGTTACCGCGCATTTTTAAAAGCAAAACCGTGTGGTGTGAACCTAGCCTAAAACATTTAAACTGGTAGATTTGTATTAGGTCTGCAAATGAACATGTAACAAATTGTTACCTTGAGTTCCTGGAGTTGCTCAGGTTCATAGAGTTTGGGTGACAGTGCCTGGGCGAGGAAGGCATCAAGCTCCTGACGCCGAAGTATTCGGATGCCTGGCCATTGCACCATATAGCTGCAAAAACAAATGTCACTGAGAATCACATAGTAGAGACACAATATGAAGTATATTAACCCCTCTGTGCCTGATCCCACTGGCCCTATAGGGAGTTTTAAACAACAGGAGGCGGAGGCAGGTTTCCTGATGAAGTGATCACCGTGATTGGCTGTCACAGCATATACAGATACCTTGCCGCACTCCTTACCGGATGCCCCAATATATCTGATGAAGGGTGCTTCTAGTGACTGCGGATGGCAACCCAATCGCACTAATCGCAAGCTCAGCACAGAACAGTGGGCTGGCAAAATACATATACAGATGGTGTTAAAGTGCACCCACTGTGCTGACACATATATTGCTTCCCCTGAAATACCTGGCACCCTGCAACGAGACTGTGCATACTGCCCGTGTGGGACAAGTCTGAACTCCTATCTTTCAGCACTGCAGCCTATGGCAAATTTCTGGAAGTGTTGAATGCCTTCATCTCTCATTGTGCAGCGTTTTCTTCCTCAACACCCTATAGTAGTGAAGTAGGGGCTGAAGTTAGGAACCATGGAGTGTGGCAGGGAATGTAGGCATCTTGAGACTTACAGAGGTGTTGAATGTCGGACTCTGCAGCACTGGAAGGCACAGGAGTTCACACTGACAACCTGTGACCCGCCAGAGATTATGTATTCACAGTCTTCTGTTGCCGGAAGCCAGTGTTCTGTCGAAGACGCCGACCCCGTCTGATTTGGCGACCTCGCCAGGCACTTGTTCACAAAGTATTTTGTTTTATTGCTTAATTGTGACTGTTAATAATACGCCATCCATGGCAGTAAATGATGGATGGCATTTTATTCACATTCACAATTAACATCGTAATTACATTATTGTGTAATTGCTTACGATATTCGTTGTGAATGTCCAGAAAATACAATCCATCATTTACTACCATGGATGGCATATTAACAGTTGCAATTAAGCATTTAAACAAAATACTTTGTGAATAAATGCCTGTTTCTTTATTAATTCCAGTCTGCGCGCATGCGCAGATGCTGAAGTCGGCTAATCAGATGGGGTTGGCGTCATCGAAAGAAGACCAGCATTTAGAATTTTCAAGGGAGGGGACAGTAGCTTTAAGCTGACCATACACACTACAATAAGTCTGTACCACACTCCTTTGGCCCAGAGAATGAACCCTCAAATCAGCTCCTATATTTGTGTCCAGACGCTTTCTGGCCCAAGCGAAGAACTCAAGACGTTGTATAAAGTAAAACAACAAGATAGGTTATAACTCTCTTACTTTACTGTTCTGGCTCAAAACGTCAACTTAGGGGAAAAAGTGTGTAAAAAAACCCCCCATCATTTTCTTATGTATAAACCAAGTGCATCCTTGAAAGCAAGTCATGAGGAGTAACTCACCGTAATACACAGCAGAGCACCATAAGGTGAGTGGGCACGTTCGCAGGATTAAGCATGGCTGGTGTATCGGATCTCATACAGGCAAGAAAAGCTCTCATCCTCCGGTTCTTGTCCTCAACTGCTTTGCCCAACCACAGCTTCTTTAGATTGGGGCAAGTCCATTCCCTAAAGGCAAGGGCTTCCACCAGTTCCGGTGTCTGGGGGGACTTTCCCTTATAAGCTGCCCACTCCTTAATAATGACTGGATAATCTGTATGATAAAAATAAAATACAAAAATGAATAATGGGTAGAGCATACTTGCTGACATCAGATTTATAATCATTTTTAAATCTGGATTGCTCAGGGCTTCCATTCAAGACAGGGAAACAAAGGATGGTTACTGAAGAAGGAAATCTGGTAAAAGGACAGTATAGGACAATCTATCCTTTACCAGATTTCTGCCCTCACCCTGCAGCGCCCTCAGGCGGCCGCCTGAGTTGCCTTGCGGTAGCGCCGGGCCTGGCAAGATCAAAGGGTCTGTTTAAAGCCCACCCTCTGACCACCTTATACTCACCTTCACAGCACTACCCCATTTGTTCCTAATACCGCTAAATACCTGGGGTTTCCAGGTTCAGGAGAGCATGTGACCTCCAGGTTCAGGAGACCATGCGATCTCCTCCCTGATGTATGCCCTATGAGCCATTCACTAGGCTTTGGCACTGTTGCAAGATGGAGTCATCTTGCAGTTCTTCAATACTCTTACTAAGCTTCAACAGCGGGGATTTTGTAGTGGTGTGTGAAGGTGAGTATATAGTGATCAGAGGGAATGTTTTGGACAGACCCGGTCACTTTGCCTTAAATATCTAAAATCTCATATCAGCTTTAACATGTAAATGTGATTTCAACTGCCATTTATCAATAATTTTTACATCTGTAGCTTTCAATAAAGTAACATCTGGTGATCCTGCCTTCTTCGTGCAGTTCCTGTTATGGGGTAACAACTATCTCCCAATTGTACATCGGCGTGGTCACCCCATCACGCGGCCCTGGTGGAAACTAACAGAGGCAGGGCCAATGCATACTTTGGATGCACAATCAATTATTATTATCTATATATATAGATAGATATATAGATATATCTATATAGATCTATCTATATAGATATATATGCAGCATGTGTCTGTACTAGGAGCAAGCTCAACCTCGTGCCCGCAGCACTTAAGACAGAGCTGTCCCAATCATAGGACTACAACCTTAGTACACACAGAAAAAGCTTTCTTTCAGAGACAAGTAATATGTACAGGAGAAAGTGTATCACATATAAAACAGGTGTAATCATGTTTTATATGCGATACATCAATGTCAGCCTTACATCAATCTATTCAGCTTTGCTGTGTAGCTGACAGCAAGTTTCCATTCCATGCCACCAGCCAATTTAGAAAAGAAGTGGTAATAAATAAGAAGCCTGTATCATTGGAGGTAAAGCAAAGAGACCATAGGTGACTTACATTCAGGGGGCATTCTGTTCTTTCTAAAAGCAAGCCGCTCTGCTCTCTTCCTGCACTCCGCCAGGCTGAACAGGACCCCATAAACATACTGGCGCACCGGTCTGTAGAGGATAGCAGCTGGGGGAAGGTCCTTGTTCACTTCATCTTCAATGGTAACTGGAATTTTGATTTCTCCCTAATGTAATATATACAATATTAACACTGCAAAATTCAACATCACCAATAACATATCCGATCCTGCAATACATACGAATATTCACACAGTCATTTTATGTGTGCAAAAGGATCACAGTAATACAGAAACAAAGAACTCCAACCTGGGAAGAGCTTGGTGATAAAACTGGGACAATAAGAAACAGGTATATGTTTAATTCCTGGGTCCCTGCTGGAAGAGTCACCCTTTCGATTTGTCCTGATGATCACGGCCACTGGGACTGAAAGCGGGGGAAAATCTAAAATATTGAGCTGCGCCCAGAACAAGAATAGAGAAGAAATCTTCAATTGGGGGCATTTGATCCAGTGACATCTAAGTGGAGATTTATATGACCGTGGAGATATTTCCTTCTCACTTCGGGCTTACAGGACAGGAAGTGAAGCCTCAAACAGGACAGAGATTAAACCCCTCCCACTCAGAACCGAAAATATCCAAAATGGAAAAAAGGTTTTGGCTTTTGCTATACTTTAAAGCTAACCTCTATCTAACAAATACCCTTTGTACTATAGATCACTTGGCCTGCAATAGGTGTTAAGCTCACCATTGTCATTCTGCGCTCTTTTTCTCTGACAGCCAGGCAGAGGATTGCAGAGATTAATGCTGCCTAAAAGTGCTGTGAACGAGGTGGATTGGCAATTGGGTGCACAGGTGCCTGTGTGTGTTTTAATGCCACCACTCAGTTTATCTAATTCCTCAGCCTGTAGTCTAGCTGCTTGGTTACCGATCTTAAAATTGATACATTAAGTACACACCGGCCTAGTGGGCTGTACAATATGACAAAGATGCAAGGTGCCCTGTAGCCTTCTTTGCTCTGGAAGGAGAGGGCTGAAAACGTATAAACATCCCTGTACATAACACAACTAACTGCAGTAAGATGCCCACATGCTGGTTCAGACACTGGCACTGATATCCCGTACCTTTCTGCTTCAGAGGAGCAGCACACGGCCCAATGAAAGTTGCTGCATTTGCACACACAATGCACAGGCGGAGGATTTGCATGAGTCAATTCTGCAGGCTAACAGTACATGAGGCATCTTGTACACATCTGGGCTGATTTACTTGAGTGAAGAATCCTCACACAACATATGGTGAATATTTCAATTACCCAATAAGGTGAACAGCAGATTCAGGTTTCCCTATTTCCTCCGCACATGACTGGATAATTGAAGGGAATATTCACAGTTTGTTCTGTAAAGATTCTCAGCTCCTTTAGTAAACGTGTCTGTTCCTGTCTGAAATTCCTGACACCTTTATATGGGGGAAATTTACTAAAACTGGAGCAGTCAGAATCTGGGGCAGCTTTGCATAGTATCCAATTGGCTTCTATCTTCCGCTTGTTCATTTAAGCTTTTTAAAATAGATAGAAGCTGATTGGTTGCAGCGGATCCAGATTCTGTCTGCTCCAGTCTTAGCCCTGGTTCACATCTTGGCGTTTTTGAGCAGGTCGAAAAGTGCTTTAACTGCCAAACAAAAAAAACCCCATGATTTTCAATGGCCCTGGTTCACACCTGAGCAGGAAAACCCCAGACGCCTGAAAAGATACAGGAGCTTCTATGGACAGTTAAAAGAGCTTTTCCTCCCCATAGACTTCATTGGAAATGCCCCAAAACGCGCAACAGAAGCATGTTGCACATTTTCGTGAGCGTTTTTGCGCGGGTTCTTCCATTGCCCACAATGGTTTATGAGCTGCCAATCAAAACGTGAGTCTTCATGTACGCACGTCAAGCCGTGCATACAAATATGCACAACGCACTAATAACCGCATGCTGCTAACACGCGTATAAACGGTGCCGCCTAGGTGTGAACCAGGGTTTAGTAAATTTCCCTCAACAGATTTTCACGGCTTAACAAACAGGATGAGAATACTAGAGCTAAATCTCTAGATTGCGTCTTCCCACACAAAGCAAGTATACCAGAATACTTTAATAGTTACCAGAACTACTTGCCTTTGAATAACGCAGCGTCACAAATCAAACTGCGATTTCAGAAATGGGTAAAGGAAATAAGCAGGGTAAGGCTTACCTTTGTGAGTACATGAAAGATGTAAGGGTACATTAAGCCCTTCTTGTGGCGATGTTCGGCTACTCTTAATACTTCAGGTGCCACAGGAGGCAGTGGAGGAGTTGTGATGTCCATGTGATTCCTGGTAGGCATGGACAGAAGACATGGAATCTGTAGACCACCCGCCTGGTTGCCTTTCTTCTCAGTTACCTTAGTTCCTGATGTGGCAGCTGAGGAGCCCTCATTCTGTGTTAAATGGAGACAAGATATTAAAAGCCACTCTTTGAAAACATAACCGGTTTGCACAACTTTGTCTTACAATTGAAAACTGTATGACAGCTGTAACCACTGCAAGTCACTGGGTTCCAGTGATCAACAGTGGAGATAAAATAGACTAAAATCTGATGTTAAAGGAGAACTATGAGATGAGTGCTTTTCACTCACCTCATAGTTCTAGCCGACCTGTGACAATGAGACTGTCACAGGTCGGCTCAGTAGATCGGTAGGTGAGCGAACACATACCGGCGTTCGCTCACCTCTCGATCCTGTCACGGCTCTCTGTTAACATTCAGGGAGCTCACAGTGTAACCACTCAGTATACAGACACATTGAGGGGAATTTATCAAAACTGGAGCAGCTATGCATAGCAACCAATCAGCTTCTCTCTTTCATTTTCAAATCCTAACTGAACAAACTGAAGAGAGAAGCTGATTGGTTGCCATGCACAGCTGCTCCAGTTTTTGTCTGTCCAGTTTTGATAAATCCCCACAATTCTGGGCAACCTCCCTTCTCGTAAGCTGGCCATACACGCTGCGATTATTGCTCGGGAATTTTTCTTGCTGCCAAGAACCCTCTTTGGATTCTAGCTCCAATACGCCATCAAGCACAGACAAATGTCGTTTTGATAATCGTTCGTTTGCAATACTAATTTTGTCGAATGACAGAACAGATTTTTGTTTGCGCATGTGCAGTGTTCATGTTGCAATTGTTTCGTATGAAAACGCCACTAATCCATCGATTTTCATACAGTTCGAAAAATGTTTTCCAGCCCAACTGATCGAGGAAATTCAGCCAGAAGTACAGTAAAAAAAAAATCATTTGTTCCCATCAACTGATCAATTATCGTACGAAAGACCAATTGTGGACGATTTCTGAACGATAATCGATAGGTGTATGGGCACCTTTATACTAGCGTATGTGCGTAAATGATGGCAGATAGCACAGGAAGCAATAGCTTCTTTGCTATCTGCAGGTTTTTTTTTTGTTTTTTTAGTATTCTGACAGTTGCAGTTGTCAGAATTAAAAAAAAAGGCTTAAGAATGCATAGCTAGATTCCTATTGGCTATTTCACTTTGCAAAAGCCAATAGCAAACTAGCTATTGCGCCCCCCCTCTGCTGCTTTCAATCACCAGAGGAGGACCTGATAGAAAACTTCAGGTCCCCCTCTGCTGATTGACAGCAGCAGTGGGCCAATAGGAATCTAGCTATGCCTTCCAATGCCTTTTTTTTCTTCTGACTGACGGCGGGCCGCGGCTCCCGATGTCAGAAAAGAAAGAAAAAACGATCGCAGGGAAAGGTTTACTCTGCTCCCGAGCAGAGTAAACCTTTCCGGGAGTAGCAATTTCTCTCCCGGGAGGAACAGTTTCTCTCCCGGGCGGCCGGGAAAGTTGGGATGTCCGAGACTCTGGGCCATGCAAAATCTGAGGCTACTGGTAAGACTGGGATTTAGCTGAAGGGGCAGCAAGGGGAAGTTGAAAGGATAAAAATGTAAAGCAATTTTGTGCTTATGCCTTGCTCTTGTGTAATACACAATCTTATATTTTATCTGCAAACCTTCCTATCCGCCTCCCCAGCAACAGATGAGGTGCCAAAGCATTTCTGAATAAAACCATTTGCTGTAATGTATCCAAACATCATGAGAACAGCACACATTTTCTAGGAATCACATGAAAGTTACCAGGTCTGAACTCATCACCTTTACCTGGTCTCCGTTATTCTTCTTGTTGGTTTTTCCGGGTGATTTTGCCTTGTTCCCGCTGATGTGACTGAAAAGAGAAAAAAAAACAGCTATTTAGCATCTGAAAGATGGAGACAAACAGAGTCCGTTCAACAAACAGTGCAAGGAACGCATATAAATGTGCTTTTCAAGGGTCAGCTCAGCCAAAACCCCGGTTCTAGGTGGACTCTAGGCAGTCTGGTCTCCCAGTGATTCCCTATTCTTTCTGGCAACAGCTTGGAAGTCTTACAAAATTACATATTTGTATGCACTGGTGACGAAGCCTAACTGGCTTTAACTCTTTCGCTGCCAAGCCCTCCGGAACGCTTCATACCTCAGCTGGCCACGCTATTTTTGCAATTTTTCCCATTGTTTTGATTTTCAACTGCTGCGTTGCTAGCGTTTGTAAAAGACCCCCCAAACCATATATTTTCTGAAAGCGCAGGCCCGGTAGAATAAAAAGATGGTGATACTAAATTTGTAGGTCCTGCGATAATTGCGCAAATGTTTCTCAAATCAATATTAAACTGATAAAAATACACACATCACACGGAAATCAGTATTAGTGCACAAAAACATACTTTGCTGACTAAATGTAAAAGATAAAACTGTATTAAGTTAATAATTAACAAATATTTGTAAATTTTAAATTGCGCCTTTTTGCGAAACAGTGAAGTAACGCAAAACTGTAAATAAGCAACTCATGTTAAAAATGTTTTTTGCGCTGTGTTGGCGTTTGTGTTGTGATAAAATGATGCAGTAGTACAATTGCAACACAGCATATCACAACGCACGACAATGCGTCACAATGCTTTGACACGGTTAAATTAAAGACATTTTTAAAAAAATCAAGCACTGCAGCGCATGGCGTACACCACAATATGGTGCATGTGTATGTTATGTGTGTTTGGGGGAAGAGAGGTTTGCGTTTTTTTTTTTTACTATTGGCCTTCAGGGAAATATCAGTGGTCTGAACAGACCCCTGACATTTCCCTTTCGAAAAAGAAATTGAGGACGCAGAGTCCCCAATTTATTTTTCTGCAGCCTCCGTTCTAAATGAATGAAGAGCACTCAGTACAGAGGCTTCCCATTCATTCAGAAACTGTTGACAGTAAATATTTTACTATCAACCACTTTCTGAATGGGGAGAAGCCTCTGTGGTGAGTGCTTCTCCACATTGAGAAACTCATGAATGAACAGGAAGTGATGTAAAGCACTTCCTGTTCATTCATAACTGGACACACATAGTACTCTCTTTTTCAAAAGGGAAATATAAGGGATCTGTTTAGACCACTAATATTTCCCAGAACCCCAACAGTAAAATAAATAAAAAATTAAACATTAAAATAAATTTGAAAAAAAGGTTAGAAAAAGGGGGTTTTTTTCGATCTTGTTCTGACAAATTTTTTTTGTTTAGTTTTTCAGTTTGTTTAAAAATGCCATTTTGGTTCAGTTTACATACACTTTAATAGATAAGTACAGAGTATACTGTTTACAGTAAAGTCATTTTAACCATGGCTTTCACGTTTATACACATTAATCTTCCATATTTTTGGTAATGTATTAAATGTAGGAATAAATGTAGGAATCACCACTAGAGGGAGCTCTCAGTGAAATAACAATCTCTCAATAATTGCTGCTATTAGATAGAGACACAGGGAGTGCATTGGGTTTTTTTTAATGAGTCAGCCAACTCCCAGACTTGTAAGAAGCAGCAGTAAAAACACAACCATTGTCTAGCATCACAATGCAAAGCTAGAGAGTTTGTAATAAAACACATAAAGATGCTTGTTATGTACAGATACCATTACACATGATTAATAAATTCCAACATGAATACAATCTGATTAGAATATTTACATCAAGCGGATTTCTTTTATATGTCTATATGAAAAAAAAATGCAACTGAACCCAAAAAACTTTTTTGTTAGTTTTAGATATATTGGAGAAGGATTAGACCTGCCGTGATTTTTATTGCGGTCTGTGTCCCCATTTGGGAGATTAACCCTCTCTACTTGTCCTGGGAAGCCAGGTGGCGAATCATTACATGCCGCCTGGCTTCCTTAATGGGACTGCAGGTTATCGGCGAGTACCAAAACAAAAAAAATATTGGTATCGGTGCATCCCAAATTTGCACATCATTACTTCCCAGCCAGTGGTATGGTAAACCCCAAAGGAACTACTGATTGGATCAAGCTATTGCAAATACCTTGTACAAAATCAACTTTCAGTAAAGCTTTTGATAAAATGAAAATGTTAAAATTAAATGGTATAATATGTACTTTCCATGTTAAATACCATGTACATGTAACGTCTGGTCTATTGAAACACAAACTAGTCTTGTTTGTCACATTAACCAATTCCTCAAATAAAACTGAAAAAAAGCTTCCCATGAAATTCTATAGTACTAGAGCACACAGGAAAGATGTGTCAGAGATCCCTTAAGTTCTGCAATATTCATTTCTCTTTATACAGAAGACAGATTGTGGAAAACTCACTTGCTGGCTCCTCCATTGCCATCGTCGTTGTCAGAAGATGAGGGAGATGATGCTGGGAAGTAGGTGGAATCTACATGGTTGGGGCTCCCGCTCTGTGCCGGGTTGATGGGTGAAGAGCGCTCGTACAGTGGGGTGTGTTTGCCTTCATGAGGAATGTTACTGTAGTTATTCTGTTCAGAGACACTCTTACTTGTAGGGCTGACAGTGGCAGTGGATTCAGAGAGGGTGTATGGAAATGGACCTTTACCAATAGCACCACTATGGCCGGACATGTGAGGAGCCTGTGAAGGGACAGGAAAGTTACTTACACAAAAGAAAATCACAAACTGTATTATGGACAGTAGGTTTCTAAATGGCCAAAACCCCCCAAAAACTGGTACAATACTGGAGACCAAGCAGCAGCGTGGCAAAAACAGACAAAAAGAGTGCTTATTGCAGCACAAGCGATAGCCCTAGTCTTGCACGAATCTGCACCATTATCTCTTAAATATCAAAACCTTAAGTGGGGGAAATGATCAATCAATTGGTACATAAAAGAGTTGATTGTGCAGACAAAACAGCAGTTCGGAAATTGTTATACTAGTAGGGCTGCAACAACTAATCGACATAATCGATTATTGTAAAAGTTGTCAACTTTTTCAATCATCGATTAATCGGCTTCCGATTGGTTGGCCCTGTTCACGGCTCCACACAGCTGCGCGCCACACCTCCTCCCCGCCTCACGCTCGCTGCTGCCAGATCCGCCCGCATCCACGCTCCTCACGCCACACCTCCTCCCCGCCTCACGCTCACCGCCCGCCCAAATCCACGATCGGCACAGGGACACAGGGAGAAGAAGTAGGGAGGAGCAGGTGTGGGCGGATGACAGCCGCCGATAGACAAGTACGATCTCAGAAACAAGTTGCTGGAAGAACGGTTAGGTAAGCGTGCCATTGCTGGGTGTTGTAGTCCTCTATAGCTGGAGGTATTCTGCATTGCGCTGTATAATTTTACACTTTTCATTTCACTATATTGCACACCACAGTTTTTGGTTTTCTTTTTTACTTCCAACGCTCCAAGCTTGCTCCTGTGATGGACTACACTCAGTACAAACTAGTAGTCCATCACTGGAGCCATTTTTAAAATATATTTTATTTTTAATTTTTTTTTATCGATTAATCGAACTTAATAATCGGCTAACTAATCGATTTTGAAAATAATCGTTAGCTGCAGCTCTATATACTAGCTCTGCATTTTTGTGAACATCTCTTGAACTGTCCCGATACCGATGCTAGCATCGGAATCGGGACCGATGCAATGCATTTTCACAAGTACTTGTGAAAATGCCCAGATGCATAATGCCGATGCTTGCGCATCGGTGTTGAATTTGTATTTCCAGCCGCCGGGCAAGCAAGAGAAGGGGGCGTGGAGCGGTGACAGAGCAGGGGGCGTGGAGCGGTGAACTGTTTCCCGCCGCAATACCGCCTGGGTCGGTCCCACGTGATCGCAGTTGAAAATGGGAATAGGTTAAATGTTTTATTTTTCTAAAAAGGTCTTAAATTATAGTTCTTCATGATCATAAAGAAATTGGCCTAAGATCATTAGTCTGTATTGTTTTGTTTTTTTAAACGTCACCTGTCCCTTTAAAAAAAAAAGTATCGGTAATTGGTATCAGCAAGTACATGAGGGGAAGTACTTGTACTTGGTCTTGAAAAAGTGGTATCGGGACATCTCTAGTGTTCACACTCAGCTACCTGAAGACAAAACAGAAATAATACTTACCATAGGCTTTGATTGTACATTAGGCGGAGGAGTCATCTGAGATGGGTCGCCCTGCATCATACCATGAATTCGGTTTTGATTTGGTCTGCCTGCTCATAAGAAGAAATGTTCCATTAATTCATGATATGGAAAATCAAGCACACAAATATAAAACATTAGTGGCATTACAATGCAAGAACAGTGGATCGCTTACAAAAGTGGAAATCATGATACTAAATGTATTTCTCAATAAAGAGCTGGATCAATCAAATAACTTATAAAAGTGATGTTACAAATATGGCTGAGTAGAGAAGATAGAACAGAAGGACTGAAATACTTCCTTCATCTGCAGAAAATGCTGCCCTAGGTGCTAGCTGCATGTGTGAAGGCCCAGACACTCGGCTAGGTCATCTCTGCTAAAGGCAAAGGTCCGCTATCAGACTGACCCATCCACCTCTTCAGGAACTCATGCGACCTTTCACATTGGCCTTTAGCATTTTCTCCACATATTTATAACAACTGTTCTATTTCTCAATCTGTCACAACAAAGCTTGACTACGGCTTCATCTTAGGTCTGCCCTAAACTGATGAATCTATGGCTCCATAGAAACAGGCTACTGGCTTACAGCATGAACTGGATCCTAAATTCAGAATTAACCGCTGAACACTTTTTGCCTGCCGACTGTGAGCATACAGACAAGAGGAAAGAGCAGATTGATAACCCACTACTAGGGAAGCACCGACATTCCGGACAAAAATGGTACTATGGGCAAAATAGCATCAAAAAGGCTGAAAATGTGGTGCATCTCTAGCTTCTCTCCTCCCCACCGATCCTTGCTGCACTACCCCCGTCTGTCGGCAGAGGCAGGAGTGATCGGAGGGGATACAGATCCGATCCAGCTGCCGGTGCCCAGCAGGGGGAGAAGCTGTCAGGCTTCCGAGTGGGGTGGCGTGGGAGCAGAGCTCGGCTCCTGTGACAGGCGGAGCAGTCAGGGTGGAGAGCGGAGCACAAACACTCAGCAATCAGCACTGATTGTTGCGTGTTTGTAAATAACAGGAGGGCATAGTAAGGTTACTATGTTCCCAGTAATGAATGAACAGTAAGTACTCTACATCACTTAAATACCATTTAGTACAAACAAGGTTTTTGTACTTTAAATGGTATTTTACCTAAAATAACATCATTATCTGAAGTTAGCCTTCGATCAACCTCGATTCCACACCAGCACACAGGCTGGGAGAGGGACAATCAGCACTTTGAGCCAGTGAGGCTCCTACTGCATTGCACACAGCTGTCAGACAATGTAAACATGGCTACTGGAGGGGAAAGCACAAGGATTACCTCAAAGTGCTACACCTTCACTGTTCAATCACAGGTTGCAATGCTGCCTACATGGGAGATCCCGGCCTGGTCGTGCTTTCCTTCCTTTTTCATAAGATAAAACAGGCCAAGTAATTAAACTGGAACTAGCCGTTTACCTGGGGTGCAGCTCTCTGGACATAAATATGGTATTCCAGCAAGCAACTTCTACCTATTACTGCATGATGCTCGGCAGTAGTAAGTATGATACAAAGCATTTATTTCATAAAATAGCAAAACAAATTGAAGTAAGCCAACACTGATAGAACACAGAAGGTGCCACCACTGACTGCCACTTCTGAGAATGCTAGTTGCCTGGCTGTTATGCCAATCCAGTGGCTTTAGTAACTTCAGAGCTAGTGCATGAAACAAGTTTACAAATAAGATCAGACTTGCTTATCTACATGTCTGTTCCGAGTCAGTGACTCAAAGTATTGAAGCCAGAGAAAGCCAGACACCTAGCATGGTCAGGAGATCAGCTACGGCTGCTCCTGTATATCCATCGGTAAGGAGCGTTATTCTGTCACTGCTCTGAACAGTAACCAAGCTGGTTTATCAGCACATTTCCTGCTGCTCTTAATGTTAGATGGATTGTCCAGTATTCTTCCATGAAATGCTTGTTATCACTGTCTCTCAGTGTCAAAGGATACAGTCAGCCCTGAACCAACAAGAACTCATTTCCCACTTGATCTCTGAACTGTCACAAAGGTCTGACAGATAAAAAGGAGTCAATAATAAAACTGACAAGTCCTAGATGTAAAACTTGACAGACATCGGAATCAGATCTTAAGCAATGAACATTTTGGAATCATTTTAAGTACACTTAGACATTAGACTAACCAGGGTACGGAGCTGGTGGGTATTGCAGGGGCTTGTTGGTGGCTCTGTAGTAAGCGACAGCTCTCTTGAACCGGGAAACTTTGTCATCTGTTCTGGACTGAAGAACAAATCATTTACCCCTTTATAAGGTTCACAGATATAGAGGATTATTATGCTACAGCACTTAAGACGTTTATTTAGAACTCTTCTTTTACATTCAATTCCACTTCAGTTCCAATAGTTTGCATCTTTTATGCCTTTCACACCCACATATAACAACACTCACTCCTCCATCACTTACCATAGTCATGCTTTCTCTCCTCCAACATCAACTACACACACGGTCTATAGCCAGGCGGATGCCATTCACCCGGCACTAGCACTCCTAGATGATGCGTGATGAGTATAGGAACTTTATGAATAAACCCCTATATCTATCTATAGGTCTCCTCAGATGCCCACGTAGAGGAGAAAACTGAAGGAGTGTCTATGTTGCCTGTATCGGACACTCCTTCACTTTTTTTTTTGTAAACATACTGAAAAGCTTTTTTCCATTTAAAATTACATTAAACTCAGGTGTTAAATCTCAAAAATGTATTCAAATACCCTATTAACAAAAATGTATCTTATTTGTGTATCACTCGGCTGTAGATGCTCAAATCATCGCTGAATTGGTGCTGACACTGTCCTTCCTTCTGGAGGGTGGCTACTTTTGTTCCCCATGGCTCATATGTGTCTTGTAAAGTAGACACCACTCCAAGCTCACTCCTGTGATGGACTACAATATCAATACAAATTAGTAACTAAATGTGAGACTGTAGTCCATCATGGGCTTGAGTTTGGAGCAGTGACAACTTTACAACACACACAAGAACCATGAGGAACAAAAGTAGCCACCCTCCAGAAGGAAGGTCAGTGTCAGCACCGATTCAGAGATGATTTGAGGATCTACGGCCGAGTGATACACAAATGAGCTACATTTTTGATAAAAGTTAAAAGGTACCTGAATGCATTTTTTAAGATTTACCTCCTGAGTTTAGTGTCCCTTTAACTTTTCCATGTTTTGTAATAAAAATGTAAATTTTAGGGTCATTATGAATAGGACAAATTATAGAGCTATAGAGTGCCAAACACCTGCAGAGACACACACCAATAGCAGCAGTGTGACCACTGCCCCCGGGAGCAGATTTCAGACCGGCGCCGGGATCAATTGAAAGCCAAAGAAAGTTGCACCATAAATTAATCTTAAAATTGTGCTTTAAAAAGTCACAATTGCTTTTCCCAAGTATTCCGTATTTTCCACTTGCAGCCAGCAGGTGGAACTCTGTGCAAACATTCTCTGCCAAGTATCTGTTGTACTAAGAATAAATGTGAGCAGCAAACACACAACACATGCCTCTCCTAGTATCCCTAGTGTATCTACAAAATATATGTAACACAAGACATTGGAGACTGGAGTCACTGTGCATTGACCTATTTTTATTACCTGTGAATGCTGAAAAACATCTGCAGAAATTGCATCCAAATCATTTGTATCTTTAATGTTGCGCACATAGTCTGCGACCGCTTTGATCACGACATCACATGGAGGTAAAACAAGCTGGTGAGCGCGAACCTAAAGATGTGAAAGAAGAGTCAATAAATAATGAACTCGCATATTAAACAGCAATACATGGCAAGGCTCAACAGCTTTAATTGTAGTGATCCACCAGTTACTGTGTCCAGATACACTGAATACTAACGGAAATCGTTTTTTTTTATTGAATGATGGACTTTTTTGTTTAGACTCTTTAGTGCTGTTAGCTGCCCCGTGATACTTTGAATACACATCAATATGATAACTGGCAAACCTATAATATCCGACACATACTACTAACTGGCAATCGACCTAATTATCAATATACACAGTGCTAGAAGTACCAAACAATAAATGTGTAACAATCGGAAATATACATGATACTGAAAACAACAATTACACTCAAGAATAGGTGATATATCCTCAATAAGCTAGACATTAAATACGTATATAGACTACAAGAGGAACAAAAGTGCTCTCCAAATAAATTGTGACAAATCAGTTGTGACCGAAAGCAATATCGGAGAGTATTCAAAGCATTTTCAAAGTCAACAAATTCTCTCAAAATCGTTTTCCTTTCAATTAACTTATGATGAAACTAGGGATGCACTGATACTGGTATTTCGATATCGAGTACCGATGTTTTTTTCCCGGGACTCACTGATACCGAGTACCAGAAGTACCATTCAGGAAGCCGGGCACGTGTAAAGACTCGCCACCCGGCTTCCCGATTAGCAGGGAAGCCCTCCCCATGCTTCTCGTCACTAGGTGGCGAGAAAGCATGGAGCCGGCTTTCTGGCCAATCAGGACGCCAGGCAATGACGCGGCACCCAGTTTCCTGATTGGCCGGGAAGCCGACTCCATGCTCCCTCGTCATGAGGTGACGAGGGAGCAGCTAAGTCGGCTTCCCGACGAATCAGAAAGTCGGGCGCCGCGTCATTACACGTCGCCTGGCTTCCTGATTGGCCAGCTTCTGACCAATCAGGTAGCCAGGCAGCACGTTGTTACACGCTGCCGTCTTCCTGATTGGCCAGGAAGCCGGCTCCATGCTCTCTCGTCACAAGTGACGAGAGAGCATGGAGCCGGCTTCCCAGCCAATCAGGAAACCGGGCAGCGTTTAATGACACGCTGCCCGGCTCCCTGATACTGGAAGTATCGGGCTAGGCATCAGAGCATTTGGGTGAGTACGAGTACTCGCCCGAATACTCGGCATCGGCACCGATACTAGCATTGGTAAATCCCTAGATGAAACCTAAGCATGTGTCCAGCATCAGTTTCAGGGCTTTTGGATATGTACAAAAGGAGGTTTTCACAAAAACATGCATAAAATATGTTAAATGCACTGATAATCTTATGGGAAGGTATTTGTTCAAACGAATAGTTGGCAACAGGGTCTCTTTAATGTCGGTGATAACAATACAGTTGGTGTATCAGTGGAAGCACACAGCACAAGTTATTCACATTTAGGTTATTCACGTACTTTTAATGAAGCTAATGGATGATCTGGTCCAAGTAAGCTCCAATGGAAAGCAGCTAAATCTTCATCAGGTAGGATGTGGTTACCTAAAGAACATAAATGCATTGTAAAGCACCTGATATCATTTGTACAAACCTTAAGGATACATTATTATTGAAGGGTAAGGGCACGCAAACACTAAAAATACTAGAGGTGCACCGAAATGGAAATTTTAAAACCGAAACGAAACCGAAATAAAAAAAATATATATGTCAGGCCGAAACCGAAAATTTTAATATGAGTGTTCCTATTCATTGATAACATGAGAACATTGTTTGTTTACTATAACTACAATATCAATGAATGGGGGTGATGTAGATCTCTCTCATTCATAATTGAGGATATAGTTAACATGCCATATCCTCAATTATGTACAAACACTCAGCGATCACTGATCGCTGAGTGTGTGTACCTTGCTTTTCTCTCTGACACGCTGTCACAGGAGGGTCTGATCGAGCGGTGTAGAGAGGAAAGCCCAGCCTTCTGTGACAACGCTGTCTCCGCCCCCACACCGCTCTGCCGGACTGTGATAGGCGGCTGAGCGGTGTGGGAGGAGACGCCGGCCGCTCACATCGCTCTTGTCCTGCAGCGCTCGGCCAGCTGTCACTTTCTTTTCTCCCCACTGGAACACAGGGAGGACATATACTGTGTCCTCCGGTGACCCAAAACTCAGTACATAGGGTCGCACCGCAGGCGGGGCGGATCCCGACAACATTGTCGAGATGTACCCCACTGGCTGATTGACAGTTGGCCCTAGAGGCAGAGCCAGCTGTGCCCGCCCCCTCCCAGTCTGTTCCTCCAGTCAGGGCTGGGGGATCGGAGCGGGGAGGGGGGAATTTGTGCGGGGAGTGGAGACTGACAGTCACAGCTCTCTGCAGGGAGATGATTGGGAAGTCAGCGATCAGCGCTATGTGTTTGCTCACTTCCCGATCAATTCAGCCGTCGGCTTGAAATATGGGGGACGAGTGTTTTTCTCTCATCCCATTATTCTCCTTTAGATGTCACTACACTACGGCTACTTGAGGTATGTCCAGAGGAAGATTACAGAATATGTCCATTAGGAGCCCTTTAACCACTCATCAATAATGTAGTCTGCCCAGCCTGATATGGATTGTATTAGCCACAGTTGTGTGTTGACAGGTATAGCAACTTCCATATGGAAGAAAAAGCCCTTGTGACAGATATATTTTGTTGGCACTTAAATTGTACCGGTCACTTTAAAAGTGGTTTAAGTTGACATTAATGGTTACATGAATAATCTTCTTAAAGTTAAACTGTAACAGGTATAAATAGGTAAAAAGATGCAACTTAAGTAGGCTACGTGCAGCTTGGATTATCTGAACACGCCAGAAGATCCCAAACATGCGATGTACAATACATAGTCAAGCACTATGAACCTAAAGAGGAAATTTACCCACCAATTTAATGTCTCTCAAAACCGTTACCTTTTAAGACATGCTGACTGTCAAGGTTGCCTGTGTGCTAATTATTTCAGCGCTCAACAAAACTTTCAGGGCCAGTTCACACCACAAACTCCGCGTTCCAGTGCATTCGGCCTCTGTAACGCAAGCCGGCCGGCTCCCTGCGTTCAGGAGCAGGAGGGGACGTGGTGGTGCATTGCACCGCATCAACGTCCCCCGCCCGAAGTGTGATCGCCCGTACCCGGAACGCAGGCACATTAGTGCTTGCATTCTGGTCGAGTGCAATCTGCAGAAATAGTGCTTGCAGTATTTTTGCAGATCACACTGGACCGAAACGCATGCACTAATGTGCCGACGTTCCAGGTGTGGGCGATCGCACTGCAAGCGGGGGACAGTGCTGCGGTGCCATGCACCACCACGTCCCCTCCCGAACGCACTGGAACGCGGAGTTTGTGGTGTGAACCGGCCCTCAAGCCTGCAAATGGCTGGTGTCATAGCTGATCACATGTGCAGCACCTTGGCAACTGCAATCTAAATAGAGACTAAGATGGCACCTTCCTTGGCTGTAAGGGATAGAAGATTGTAGTTTTACTTTAAAGCATGCTACTCCAGCCCAGAATGTAAGCCCCTATCTGTTATAGAGGCTCAAAATGCTGAATTTATGGACCGTGGGGCCGAAGTGGCCATTATATGCTGAGAATCAAACAATTCTCAGAAAGGGAAACCAATGAGGAGGAAAATTGAGCCATGATTTAAACCTCATTGGTTGTGCCCAAATAGGCATCGACCCTCCAAGCAACATCCCCCCGCTGTTATTCATACATAATGGACTTCAGAGACCAAGCAAAAGCTGTCCATAAATTGGTAGATTTTTGTAAGAACATTCATCTGAAAAAACTCATGAGAACACTCAAAAATGTCATCGGAGACTTGGTAAATGTCACTAGAAATGTTGTTTGGTTTTAAAGTGACACTAAACTCAGGAGTTAAACCTTGAAAAAATACATTCAAGTACCCTATTAACAAAAATGTATCTTATTTGTGTATCACTCGGCTGTAGATCCTCAAATCATCTCTAAATAGGTGCTGACACTGTCCTTCCTTCTGGAGGGTGACTACTTTTGTTCCCCATGGTCCGTGTGTGTTGTAAAGTAGCCATCCCTCCAAGCTCGCTCCTGTGATGGACTACAAATCTTACATTTAGTTTACCAATTTGTATTTAGATTGCAGTCAATCACAGGAGCGAGCTTGGAGCGGTGACTACTTTACAACATGCATAACGACCATGGGGAATGAAAGTAGCCACCCTCCAGAAGCAAGGACAGCGTCAGCACCAATTCAGAGATGATTTGAGGATCTACAGCTAATTCACAAGATATATTCTTGTTAACAGTTAGGCCCCGTTCACATTGAGCGATTTATCGCGCGGTAATTCCCACGATATCGTGGCTATTTACCACGCGATATCGCTCTTCAATGCTTTGCAATGGGGCAAAGGTTGCTGCTGTCGCGGGTCGTGTGTCGCTACAGCAGGACCCTTTTTGGAGCGGATTTTGCCGCAATTCCAGCTTGCTCAATGCAAGCATTTGCGCGATATCGCGCAAAATGCAAATCGCGTGACAAACGCGCGATTTGCAAATCGCCAAGTGTGAATGGGGCCTTAAAGGTACTTGATGCATTTTTAAAATTTGAATCCTAAATTTAGTGTCACTTTAACATTTGATTTTGGAAGTGAATGGCATTTCCTGAAGGAAGTTCGCATTTCCTGTTAACATTTAATTTGATAAAAATGTGCCATCCTGTGCCTTTGATTTTATATGTCACTGTGGTTGAAAAAACGGTTCATTTGACCTTATTAGCTATTAGAAAATGGAATGAATGCTCCAAAAATGTTGTTTTTCCCCAACACAATTCTACATAGTCTCTCATCCCCAGCAAAACAATGGACACGTGGGGTAATACTAATGGTTCCAAGAAGAGATGTGTATTTATTGCCCTGTATATTAACCGATGTTCCAGAAAAACGCACACCACAGCGCTCAGCAGACTCCCAATGATATTCTCCACCAACAATCGTTTGCAGGCTGCCGTCATCAAAAGCCCACTGGGAAGTATTCCTCACAAAACATGCAAAACAAACAGACAGCGCCTTGTCCTCGTATAATACAGTTTATTAATCAATGAACATACAAGCTGACCTAAAATACACAAAGCTGCCCCGGGGAATATACTGGGGAAGCTCTGAGGAAGGTGTATAGTCCCCGAAACGCGTCAACTAGCAAGGCAGCTTTGTGTGGCGTCTGCCTTGTACCATTCATTCAGTGATTACCATGCGAGCAATATTTTATGTCAGCTTGTATGTTCATTAATTAATAAACTGTATTACACGAGGACAGGGCGCTGTTTTGCACGCCCTGTATATTACCCAAATGAGAGCCAGGAATAGTTTCCCCCCCACTGACATCCAAAAATAAACCTCTACACTGAGGACATTTCGACATTCCTGGGAATTTTGCAAAGCACGGATTGCCTAGTTTCCACTTTCACAAATCTTTCCTCTAAAAGTCAGGAAACTTTGAATACCCGCACAATGTACTCCGTTCCTTATAGCTGGGTATTGCTGTTTCATCAGAGGCAAATGACACGGTGTTGGGAACAAAGAATCACTTCTGGCTAAGCCAACAGGATGAGCTTGGCTGCCTCCATCAGAGATTAGCACCTGATGCCCCACTGAAGGATTCTGTAACCTTGACAACAGAATAGGCCTCAATGCAGAGCGGTTATGATCAGTTCACACACTCGCTTGCTCTCTCTCTCTCTTTCCAATTACTCAAAACAAGATGCTAAGTGACACATTTTTCAACCACCGTTTTTCTATCGTGGTCAATCCCCAGAAAGCAGGTTTCCATATTGTTCAAAAACTATTCCTTTCAAATAAAAGCACATTCAGCACCCTGGAACTGCTTAAGCTACGGCTCCTTGGGTACACGGCATTCAGAACAATCACGCCGTCTTCCTTCATGCTATACATTATTAACAATGACTCTGATAGGAAGATCTGCCTTGTATGGCTGGTGTTTGTTTTCAGTCAGACATGAAAGTAATTTGTATATTCTTCAGGTATCATGTCAGTAGGATGTCTCTCATGTTTGTCTATACATACTAGTGATTATTTTATGTTGTGAGTGTTCGTGCATCTATTGAGTTATAATGCTGCTCTTGTTTCAGAACATGGATTTCAATACTTGGGCTTTATATGGCGTAAGAATATAGCAGCAAACAAAAACCCATAATAAGCAACTGCAAAATAAAAGCCCCCATACTTTCCTCCTTTGTTGAGGTAAATGTGCTTGAAGACAGGTTCACAAAGCAGCCATAACTTAATCAGGCTATACGGCGCAGCAAATGGATGTCACTTTGATGGGAGATATCCATCTTGCCACTGTTTATGTTGCCTTGGAGAAGCAAACAGGGCAGAGCCATGAATTATAGTTTCAATTGTGAATACTCTTCTGGATAAAAAAATAAAGCAGCCCTGTATAAATCTAAATGGAGAAACAGCAATTTTTTCTGCCTGTGGAATGCGGATATTCCACCAACCCAAGCTAAACTGATGAGGGAGAATCTGATACAACAAAATATTTTATTATTTTATCCACGTTTGTGCATAATGTCTTCCTGAAAGGTAGGTTCACTTTCTCACAAATTGTGAACAAAAACAAAACTTACCCGCATTACCCGACCCCCGCTGCGCTTTCATGCCTGAAGTCCCCGCCAGCCGCTGTAGCGGTCCGTACACCAGACTTCTCCGCTCCGCAGTATGCAATGCTTGCAAATAGTGAGCGCTCATGGATCAGTAGGGTCACAAGACAATGCTGACAAATGAGAACGTCTTCTGAGCCAGGGACCAGGTCAGAGAAGAAGCGCTTCTCATTGGTCAGCGTGGTCATGTGACGATGCTGACAAGTTAGAGCTCGCTACTTGCAAACATTATGAGCATTCCGTACTGCGGAGCTGGGTAATCCAATGTATGAACCTCCACACTGGCTGGAAGGGACTTTAGGCATGCAAGTGCAGCGGGAGCCGGGTGAGGTGGCAAGGTACTGTGAGTAATTTTTTCACAATTTGTGAGAACGTGAACTAACCCTTCAATAATTAAAAATACCTACTTCTGTTTTGCCCCTGGGGGAGTCTGGTTTTCATTTTTGCTTTCTTCTTCCTGTCTGTCTGATCGTCAGTGATCTGCCTTTTTCCAACTCCGCTGTAACATGTTCCTACCATATTCCTCATACCACTACCTCGGCAAGGAACTGCACTTTGCACGTAGTCTGATGCCACAGTAATACCACAACATGCAACCCACAGCCACTGCTAAGTCACTGCCATCTTTCATACTGCCATAAACACTCTCCACTGATGTCCCTCATCTAACCACAGCTGCCTGCTGGCAGCTCTGCCTCCGACTCCAGTTTCCAATGCTGTTGAAACCCACTCAGCGATGGCAATCTTAGGTCCCTGCAGGGAGCCACTGCAAGAGGCCAAGTTGTACCAGTTTCTATCCGAGCGCCCCTGCTTCCTCCCAGCATCCCCACACACACACAGCTTGGGGCCACCACTCAGTTCCCTCAGCCTTACCCCTGGACCAACAACTGCTGTCAAGAAGAGATGAAGCAGGTGTTGTGTGGCCTCCATTGTCTGCAGGAGTGTTCTGGAAGGCCAGGTATACAGGGATGTGGGAGGACTTGTGTGTGCTCTCCTCAATGCCAACACTGTGCTACAAGAACCCTCTCACTATTTCACATGCACACCCATCCACTCTTCCTGCATCCATTGTTCTCACCACCATACTTGAACATTGACCTCCTCCCTGACCTCCTCCACACCTAACCCCACCACTCCTCCACTCTCACCAGCACATCTGTAGTATAATCACAAAAACCTTTTTCTTCTGTTCTTACCACCACACATGCAGGCCTAACACCACCCCTCCTTCATACACCATCCTCCACTGTTCTCACCCACACTCCTGCAAACCAATTCACCGTACACAATTGCTAGTTTTTTTTTATAAACAGAAGGCTAGCATGAGCATTTGTGTTCTGCTCCTGACATGAGTTTATGAATCATATGTGACAGGTGTGGAAGGCAGTGTTATCACACTTTCATAGGACAATGTACAATCAAACATCTGTGTACACTGTGCCTTTAAAGACGCCTAACAGCAGGCTATGATTGGGTAAGAAGTGAAAAATAACATGATTACCTAGAAGAGCAGCAAAAATGGGGAAGCGGTTGGGATTGAGATCCAGCTGTTTAGCCACCTCGTGCATTAGGTACTGGCTGGTTGTGATGCTCTTTCCATTGCGGCTCAGTTTTAATGCGTGAGCACTGAAGTAATACGGGATATTGCACAGCGCATAGTCTGAGTCATACGCAACCAGACCATGGAATCCATTTTCACGGCAAAAACTGATGACTTCTTGATGATGATCTTCAATGCTCTGTGCAACCTGAAAACAGAAAACACACATTTCATTAGGACGCATAAATACTAGATTTATAGATGAAGACAAATCAGAAATATACTGGTTGTAGCATCAGATGTATTGTTTCCATGTGTGTATGCATGCTTAGTTAAAGCGTAACACATATTAAAGTGACACTAAACGCAAAAGTTAAGGCTCGGTGCAGACCTACACGATCCGGGATCGCGCGGTCCTGCACAATGCAGGCCGCGATTGCCGTGCGGCCACATTGATTTCAATGGGGTGACAACCGCGCGGCAATCGCAGAAAAAAAGGTGCATGCACTTTTTTTTGTGATACACGACTTGCGACTGTTTTAGCCATTATCGTGTTCGGAAGCATGGGTGAAATCACACCGGAAAACTGCGCGATTCGCCTGCCATTAGAAAATTGCACCCACGGCGCGATCGGCGCACACCCAGGCGACTCCTGACCGTGTGGAGAGGTGTCGCCTAGGTGTGCACCGGCCCTAAATCTTAAGATACATTTTTGTTAATAGTTAAGGTACTTGAATATATATTTGTCTATCACTCGGCTGCAGATCCTCAAATCATCTCTGAATTGGTGCTGACACTGTCCTTCCTTCTGGAGGGTGGCTACTTTTTTGTTCCCCATGGTCCCCTGTGTGTGTTGTAAAGTTGTCACCGCTCCAAGCTCCTGTGATGGACTACAATCTCAATACAGTAAATTAGTAAACCAAATGTGAGATTGTAGTCCATCACAGGAGCTTGGAGCGGTGACAACTTTACAACACACACAGGGGACCATGGGGAACAAAAAAGTAGCCACCCTCCAGAAGGAAGGACAGTGTCAGCACCAATTCAGAGCTGATTTGAGGATCTACAGCCGAGTGATACACAAAAAGGGTACAGTATTATTAATAGTTAAGGCACTTGAATACATTTTTAAGATTTAACTCATAGTTCAGTGTCACTTTTAGGCCTCGTTGACATGGGCAGCTGACTTTTACCACCCTCTTAAAAAAAAAAAAAAGGATCAGTGGCGGAACTAGAAATATTTGATATAACAAAAGAAAAAAGTGGCAATTACTTACATAGCAGCATTTAGAAAATAAAATATAGAACATTTTATAATGGCACAATAAATAGACTTTGCAGCACTGTGAGGATGATGAGACATTAGATCAGGGAGATGTAAGGACACAGTTAGTGGGTGGGCTGTCATCGTCTGCCTTATGAAGAAAGGAATTCCATGCATTTGAGGGAGCCAAAGGAAAGCTAAAGCAACTGATGTGCGTTAAGCTTCCTTGTCTCATCCAGGCTCATATCTCTTCCCCCTATACAGTGCAGATCACTAATTTCATGTTTCTAAATGGCTTTCAATAAAAACACCTTTCCTTTCTAGTGTGAAATGTGGTAATATCACTACTCTAAAGCATAAGTGTATGTCTGGGCATAATAAAAAAAGAATACACACCGTACATCTCTGCAGTGCTTGCACACAGGAAACGGCTCCACGCTCTCTCGTCACTTGTGATGAGAGATCATGGAGCCGACTTCCCGGCCAATCAGTAAGCCGGGTAGCGTGCAATGACACGCTGCCCGGCTTCCCGATTGGTCAGGAAGCTAGCAAATCCGGAAGCCGGGCGCCGTGTAATGACGCAGCGCTCGGCATTCTGATTGGCCGGGAAGCCGGCGTCATGCTCCCTCGTCATCTCATGAATCATAATATTAAGAAAGTGACCTTGAAGCATTAGTTTGTATTGCTTTAGAAAAAATGTGACCTGTCCCTTTAAGAAAAAGTATCGGTAATTGGTATCTGCGAGTACTTGATCAAAAGTATCGGTACTCGGTCTTAAAAAAGTGGTATCGGTGCATCCCTAACAATCACAATACAATTCAAGACAAGATGGTAAGGCCAAGTTTATCCCTAAAACACTGCAAGTACAGACCATTACCCGCTGCTCTTCTAAACACTCAGTGTGAGATAACATGTCCATAAAATAAAAGGGGAGGTGTTCCATAGGTAAGGAAAGGAGAACTCAGACAGGGCTGAAAACACTGGGGGTTTCAGTGTAGCTGAGGTAGCACAGTGAGCCCAAACAAGAAGTTATGAGCTCATTGGATTTCTGGAAAGAATCATCCAGGGCTACAGCTTACGATTATTTTCATAATCGATCAGTTGCCCCATATTTTTTCAATTAATCGATTGGTTGTAAAAAAAAATATATATATATATATATCTTCCCCCTCCACTAATCAATAATGAGAATCGTTGCCAGCTATTCTCATTATCAATTATCAATTTAATCAATTAGTTGTTGCAGCTCTACAATCAGGATATTTTGCAAAGCATTCAGCCATCTTCATATTGCTTTGCGGAGGCCTTGAAAACATTCCATAGCTCCAGTTTCGGGAGGTTAGACACAGATCTTAATGAAAGTGCCGTCTGTCACATTAAACAAGCTGCTAGCAGGCTTTAGTAAGCTTTAGCACTACTTGAAACTTCTTACAAGCTAGCATCTTGTTTAAAGCGACAGCACCCCTGTATGTATGTCTCCTGTCATAAAAGCTCCCCCCCACAACACGCTACCAGCTTTTTCCTAACTGTACACTGGCTACTTAAAGGAGAACTATGAGGCGAGTGAAAATCACTCATCCTCATAGTTCGAGCCAACCTGTGACATGAAACTGTCACAAGTCGGCTCAATAGATCGGGAAGTAAGCGAACACATACCGTCACTCGCTCACTTCTCAATTATCTCCCTGCAGAGAGCAGTGACCGTCAGTCACAGCTCCCAGCACCGATCCTCCAGCGCTGACTGGAGGAACGGACGGGGGAGGAGGCGGGCACAGCTGGCTCTGCCCCTAGATATGCAGAGCCAGCTGTCACTCACACAGCTGGGTGGATCTCGAAGGTAATGCCGGGATCTGTCCCGGCTGCGTCGGTCTCAGTATACCGCGAGCTGTAGCTCGCGATATACTGAGCTTTGGGTCATGGGAGGAGGTTAGTATATGACCTCCCGTGACCCTTAAGAGAACTATGGGGAAAAATACTTACCCCATAGTTCTCTTAAAGGAGAACTATGGGGTTAGGGCTTTTTCCCATAGTTCTAAGGGTAACGGGAGGACACAAACTAGCGTCCTCCCGTCACCCAATGCTCAGTATACTGCGAGCTACAGCTCGCGGTATACTGAGATGCCGCAGCCGGAACGGATTCCGACAATTATGTCTGGATCCACCCAGCTGCGTGAGTGACAGCTGGCTCTGCCTACCTAGAGGCGGAGCCAGCTGTACCAGCCCCCTCCCCCTTCCGTTCTGCCAGTCAGCGCTGGAGGATCGGACAGGGGAGGGGAAGATCCAGTCCCTCGCCTGGCACGGCCCTCTGCCGGCACAGGATCGGTATGTGTTCGCTCACTTCCCGATCTATTGAGCCGACCTGTGACAGTTTCATTGTCACAGGTCGGCTCAGATTATGAGGCTGAGGGAAAATCACTCGCCTCATAATTCTCTTTTAAGTTTGTCAGAATGCTGTGGGTGCAGGGAGGAAATATCTCCCATATACATGTGTGGAAGGAGTTACATTATCTCTGGCCAGCTAGCAGACATGGAAGAAAACCAGGAAAAAATGGCAGCTATAGAGCAATGAGGGGAAGCAATAGATGCTGCATTGCTGGAGGAGGGCACTCTGGGAGGCAAGTCTGCCGTTAAGTGGAAACATGCAGTGCATGGAGTGCATCTGGCTAACCTTGTGATGTATGCCTTTAAGGAGAATGACCACTTTCAAAGTTCATAGCGACTGACAGGTTCATGTTAAGAGTCTTTGCACACTATTGGGACTGGGCTTCCAACATACCGCAATGAGGCTAGGTTCACACCTGGGCGATCTGTGACCGCGCGGCAATTGTGCACGAAATGGTGCGGATTGCCAGGTTGTCACGGAGTCTCCCACCACAGTCGATCACGCTGGTGGTGCCATTATTTTTGCGCCGGGCAGATCGCGTGGGCTCCCACCATGATTCCACCCGTGCAACCGAACACGATAAAAAAAAAAAGCCGTTTTGCGTGTTGCACAAAAAGGCACTTTTTGAACCTAGCCTCAATGAAAAAAAAGGATCATACATCATGCTCCCCAACTCCTTTTTTTTTTTCTTCCAATGCTGCACACTAAAAACAGACATCATGTGCATGTTGGTGCGCTCTGCTTTGCAGTGCCATTCACAATTAACACACGGGGCAGCTGACCGGTCACCACAGAAACACTTGTTCACACAAGGCAGCCTGTAAGAGACAGGAAAATGTATGTCCCTTTCTGGTGGCCCATTGTTATTGGGTTTTTTTAAATCCGCTGCTTTGCAGCATCCATAATACATTAGGGAGCAGAGGCACCGACTGCATTGTGACGAGTGGGGGGAAAGCATGCCTTAGCTCTGACTCAGTGCAAACATTATCTTTGCAAACTGGGTGTGAACTTCTGATAGAGAACAGTATATTTCAATAGCATGCACTCCCTTTTGTCATTCCTTATGCCAAGTCATACTGGCAAATCCAGGGAGAGGTTTACATTAATTCCAAAGGGCCAGCCAGACTTTAGTCTGCTAAGCAATGTAAGCAGCATGAAATGAGACAGAGCAACAGATGTGCCTGTAGGATGATGTGGTCATCATCCTCCATTTTAGAGAAAAAAAAAAAAAACAATGTACAAAGATCAGCAATAACCAGACACCATTCAGCGGTCTCACTATAGTAACTGGAAATCTGAGCTAGTGCTATATGTAGCGCTGCAACTAATGACTATTTTCATAATCGATTAGTTGGCCGTTTATTTTTTCAATTATCGGATAAAAAATTAAATAAATATCATCCTTAAATTTACAATAAAATACACAAATGCAGTGTTACGTTTCCTTCAGAATAAAACTGCATGCACAATTTTTTGCAATTGCACTGCAATGGAATGCACGGCATTGCGGTACCGTGCGTTCCAGTGCGGGCAATCACACTGTAGGTGGGAGGTGCGTTTG